ACCTGCTCGAGATGCATCTGTGGATGCATGACAAGGTGCGCCTGGCCTTCCTAACTGACTCCCCACTCCAGTTTTTACTTCAGTAATTTACTCCAGTTATGAAGTGTTTTTAGATAAAGGAAATGGATAAAAGACATTATATAGATACAAGGTATTGTTAATAGGCATGACATTTCATATGTTCAGTTCCCTCATATCTCTTGTGAGCCAAGCAGGAAGTTCTCAAGACAAGATGCTCTACTTAACTGACTAATTACATCTAACCCTCAGTTTCTTCCCAAGTGTTGGACTACAAAATTTAACCCCTGCTCTAGTTCAACAACAATCATTTCAGTATCTTGTCACATACTTCCATGAATTAACAGGTTAAACTGAGTCAGTTTGGGTCATTGTTTGAGACTGGATGGCAACTGGAATTTAAAAAAAAATTAAACTGCATCAGCAGATTGTAAAACAGCAAATGTTCTGCGAAACCTTTTTTAAAAATTTGCAGTCAGCTTTATAATAACTGTGCTCTGAGCCAATATATATGTTCAGTGGAGAATATTTTGCAGATTAATACAGAGTCCAAGTAATTCAAGACTATCTGCTTTGTACTAAACACTGGTTATCTGAATTCTGTTTTCCCAGAACTAACCTGCAAATATAATTTCTTTGCTTTTTAAATATATTTTGTAGAGTCTGAGCTAATGGTCATTGACATTATAAAGTAAAGGTAGATGACACTGACATTATAAAGTTACGGAGTTTTGGTCTTTTGACTTTTGTTGTGCTTTCTCCCCCTGTGAAGCCGAGCACCTGTATACAACCCCACCTGACTGGCACAGTGAACCACTTTTTTCCTACCCCATGGATCATCGTGCAACCAATTTACCTTCAAGGGGTGAGAGAGTCCTTTAGATCAGGTGGTACACTCCTTCCACCTGCACGGCTTTAAACAATAATAAAACACTTTGCAATTGTACTGAAGGATGATGAATTGATGGCTGTCAATGGCTGCAGGCCTCCAGTATCATTGGCATGCAAAGCAAATGTGCAGTTACTCTTTTTTGATGCTGTGTGCCTGTACTCTGAAAAGGCTTGACACTCAGCAATCCTTTTAACTTACGACCGTGTCTTTTCTGCTTTACTCTTTCAAGATTTGCACTGCTTTTTCTAAATTTCTTTCCAAGGCAACAGCCATGGAAATTCGTTATCACATTCAGATGAAAACAGTAGTGTGACTAAAACAAAACTGAAAGCAAAAGCGAATGAGCATTATTAACTTCTGAGGTTAACTGTTGTTGTATTGTCTGTTTGTTAGTCAAGCAGTGATTGAACTGACCTCCTCAAAAGTAATATAAATCTGTTCTCAAGGTGGAACTCAGCCTAGTGGTCAGATGACATGTACCTAAAATGAAAACTGATCTACTGTTTGGAGTATAGGTGTCATGAAGGCCTGAATATTTTACTTGGCTTCTGCTCAAGGGCTTTCTGTTTTACCTCAATCTTAGTAAATTTAGTAGTGTATATTTGACCTCTAACTTTTCTTCCCGATCCAAGTTGAAAACTAAAAAGAAAAGTTTGAATGTGCTTCAAAAGAATGCTAGGTCTTTGCTGCTAGGGCTAATTAAAACAACCTATAGAGTATACTGCAGAATCTCAGGGAAGGAAATGTTCCATTATTATGGGCATACAGAAAATCAATTATTATCCAAGATGATATCTCAGACCAGCACCTATATGCTAGGTAAATGAGACAGCTAGATTTACCACCATACTGCCAGTTGTCCTTTCCCTGCATTCACATTTTTTCATCCCTTCTTTCGAATGAAATATTTGTGCTCCGCAGCCTGCGCTTATGTTCTGGACCAGCTTTCCCAAGCTCGTAAATCACTCAACTTGCTTTTACACGTAGCAATTTTCAGCTCAGAATGCTCTATTTTGTATTGTCTATAATTGCAGGCAACACTGGAATTTAAGTGGCATAATGGTATAATTGCCACGTTTGGAATAATGAACGACTGTCACAGTCAACAGCATTGTGGAACTTTCTGAACTCTTACCTTAATATTGCTGCACCTCGGATTTTAAACTCCACCTTAAATTATTAAAAGGAAGTATGGACATCGTTACACATGCTCTGGGGTAGGTGGGGGGCACTTTAATTAGAGCAACTCTCAGGAGCACTGTGGCCCGCAGCATCTCATGTAGTCAGCCTTCCATACTTCAAAATGGTGGCAGGGCACTTTAACATGACTCATTTGATGAGCTTTATTTAAAGTGCCCCCGCTCCCATTTTGAAGTACAGGTACACTGAATACACGAGACACTGAGGCTACTGGAGTGTGCTAATTAGCACCCTCACTCGAGTCTGCTCTGAAGCATGCTAATTAACACATTAGATCTAGCACTGTCTGGGTTTCTAACCTGTAATTGTCAGTCTTTTAGAGGAAAATTCTTTTATTTTATTTTCCCTTTTGGTACGAACTTTTACTGTGAGTGAGGGATTATTATGTATATGTTGTTTGAAATACCAAATTGATATCTATATCTTTGGGTAAGTAACTTGACCTTTCTTAAATCCACCATTTGCTTGTAGTCCGCTCAGCTTGGGTCAACTATAGCTGAACGATTAACTACTAATATTAGCTTGAACCTGTTCATGAAAAACAGGGCCTTACTTAAAGAACAAAAATATACATATCTGAGGAAGACGGAGAATATTAATAGTGCGAATGTTTCAGAGCTGCTGGCAGGTCTCATACACAGGGATGAAATGTACGTACACATTGCCTGATCTATTTCTTCTCTCACCCATTTGCAACATATCCATAATCTTCTGAGGGGACCTACTGTTACAGACAATATGTGTGTACAGCTAGATAAAAAGGGCTTTAGAGAGAGTTTGGTTTTGGTAAATTTGAGTTTGGTAAGGGCTTTACTCTGTCAGTGTGTTAATGATAGGCTTTATGAAGAACTAGTGGGACCTACCAGTGATCGCCCAGTGTGTGTCCCTTCTGAGACTAAATATTGCATACTGTGGTGTACAGGGTATATGTCTCTGTACGTTGATAAAGGAAAAGATCCTGTAGTGGTGGTGGCGGACAGTGTTAGAAAAGCCACGTTTTGAGGAAAATAAAATGGAATGGTAAAATTGTCAGTAGGCTCACAGAATAGCTTATTTGACAGACTTCCTATTTTGGAATTGGGCTTGCAGTGAAGTGATCATAGTAATAATGAACTGCACTAGCAGATGATTTTGTTGCAACATTCTGTGGGCTCAAAACCAAACTCTCTCTAAAAAGCTAAGCTCAAAATCAAATAATTTAATGGAGCTATGTTAAGGGCTTTACTCTGACTCTCTTGGCGTTGGATCATTAGCATGTCAGCCAAGTTACCCCTTGGCGGGGTGGTTGCAGGGGGGCAGTCTGTCACAGAATACTTTTCAAGATCTGAATTTAGAAGGATTTAAAACTGATGTTCTGTCTGTTTTCATTCACACGCAGAAATAGCACTAAGAGACGTTAATAGAAATAAGCAAGATGGGATTAGCTGAAACTCAGTAAACAGCAAAAATGCACATGGAATGGGATCTTGCAATGCTTCCCAACCTCTTCCTTATATGATATGGTTATTCTTAGAAAGTATTACAAATAGCTGACCACACCTCTGATGCCCAGAACCATGGATTTCAATTCTGCCCTAAAAATATTTGATACAAAATAGCATGGTATTCAAAGCTGAATGAATGCAAAGGAGACTTAAGTCACATATACATTTTTTTAAAATTATCTTACATACATACATTAATACTTTCCTTGCTTGCCTTACCCCAGCATGTAGTGTAGAAGGAAGTCTTTTCTATTTTTATTAATGATTACATAATATGATTGGTCCTGTATAAATCATGCAGCAGAAATGATCTCTGTCCCAAGGAGCTTATGGTAGAACTACACATTTGAATCGAACTGTACTGAAAGATCCAGAAGAAGGGTGTCACATGGAGTATTTTTAGTGTAGTGTCTTAGCAGGTGCCAGTCATAAGCCTGGGGATTCTTCTTGCTTTGAAATGTTAGGATTTGAAATAAAAGCCTTTTTTCCCCTGGCATGAGGAAGAGGTGGCATAAGAATTCTTCTCCTCACTCCTGTCGGAGGGCAGGTAGCAGAATTCTTGGTTCTTTTACAAGCCTTGGGCAAGAATAAAGAGTGGCAGGATTTTTACTTTCTTTGCCAGAGAAAGGACAAACGTCCTTTACTGCAGTGATGATGGTAATGAGGACACTTTGGCTGTGAGCAGACCCTATATTTGTCCCTGGGTGAACCATTTTATCTCAGGACAAAATGCAGTGGTTCAGATGTTCAAGTCTGTTGTCCTGGGATAAATCCTAAAAAGGCTTATGGGTTAAGAAGTGCTAACAGTTTGTCCTGTGACACTGTAAGGTGCACCTGAATGGTTGTCCTGGGATTGCATCATTGAATCAATGACAGAAAAGTGGCAGTGCATTCAGTCGCTGACTAAGCCCTGATTAGAAAGGCAGTGCGTGTACACATGAATCCCAGGACTTTTCTTGGGACAAATACAGGCACAACTTGTCCAGGGACAAATACCACATCTGTTCCTAGCCTCTGACCCAATCAAGGTGGAAATGAGGGGAAGGAATATTGCTCAGAAATCATAGAAAATATAATTGATACAATATGTATTAGTGTTAATTAATTCTGCTTATTCAATATATGAGTGTGGTATCTATGATGTGAACAAAAAGAAACAATACAGTTGGCTAGTAAACTGAATGGCTCTAGTGTCATGGGGTAGTGAGGTTGCTGAAACACACCTACATCGTAGCCAGTTCTGGTCACTACAAAACTGGGCTAGATATAAACAATGTATTATCCCATTTTTCCTTCTTTCTCCAAACATTGAGAGTCCTGTAACAGCTTCAAATGCTCAGTTTTTCATAAACTGTTGGTTTGCTTTTTCTCTCCTCCCCCTCTCCCTGCTCTCTTTCCACTTCAGATCTTAATGAGTGTGGACTAAAGCCTCGGCCGTGCAAACACCGATGCATGAACACCTATGGCAGCTACAAGTGCTATTGTCTGAATGGATACATGCTCATGCCGGATGGAACGTGTTCTAGTATGTCAAGGCTCCTTAGCTTCCCTTTTTTTTGTTTCAAACTCCAGTTACTGTTTTCTATAATGTCTGGAGACCCTTGGTAAACTTATACCAGAAAAAGATGAGTCCCAAGGCAAAAACATATCCTTCTGAAAATTGTGCATTGTGCTAAATGGGCCTCCTCATTCCAGGAAATGAGACTGAACAGAACATGAACAAATTATTTTTATTCTGTTAGTTTTATCATTGTTTCCTAAACCATTCTTCAACTCTGTGAATCACTATTAATCTTCCTTCAGGGACAGGTGCCTGCAGTATTCTCAGCAGGACACCTGCAGTTCTGTTGTATTATGCTCACATAAAGCCTTAAAAATCATTAAAGCTACATATGCTGGTTGGCTGCCTGGTATAAAACTGTACTGAGATCTTCCCGGAGATTAGGTTCCTCCTTACTCCTGTAAAAGTGGATATTTTGGGTATCTGGTGAGAGAGAGAAATTACCTTTAATTAAAGATAGTACTGAAAGGAGGAGTTACCATTTCTAAATGAATCCATCCACAAGGGTTTGTAGCACACATTTGGTTTTATTTTCCTCATGGGGTTTTTGTTCAATAACACAGACCACTAAAAACTGTATTCTTTAGACTTGCCGTTTCTTATAAATGCAGTCTGTGAAAGCAAAGCAAAGATTTACAGAGCACATTTTTGCTTTTATTGGCCTGATCCAACTCCCTTTAAAATCAGCAGGAGACTTTCCACTGACTTTTATGTAGTTGGACCAGACTTTATTTCACCTGAGACTCCAGTGATTTGCCTGTACTATATATTTAGTGCAACGTGTGACTGTTTTTCCCTAGATGCCCTTTCTTGTTCTATGGCCAACTGTCAGTATGGCTGTGATGTAGTGAAAGGAGAGGTCCGCTGCCGGTGTCCTTCTCCAGGGTTGCAGCTAGGGCCTGATGGCAGGACCTGTGTAGGTAAGTTATGCTTCCATCTTAAAGCTGAATCCAGCTGAAAACAATCATTGCATAGATATGAATTGCATGATAGGTGTAGTGTAACAGTTTATCAACATGAGTTTCAGATAGTCACATTACCCAGGTGGTCTCAAACAAGCACCTTTCTATTGTGCCATCATGTGTTCTGTATATATTAGATGTTACACAAACAATATTTTAGGCAGGCTTTAAAGCATTTTAAAAAAATATTTCAACTATTCTTTTGTATCCCATTGTCTGCAAAATCTGATGCTGTAGTTACAACTGTGCAGGGATTGGAGAGAGCAATAAAACCTCTATGAATAACCTGGAATAGTTTTTCCACAGATAAAAATGTTATGGATTTAAGGACCAAGATTTGCGCTTTTGCACATCTTAAAGCAAGTGCTGTGCATTCTGTACGGAATCTGGGAATGCCCCTTTGCATTTTCATAAGCCTCCTACCTGCAGCCCAGCTGCATCCCAAGATATCAAAGATGAGGAGCTTCTCTGTAGATGTGATTGTATCCATGCTTCTCTTTCAGTTTGTTTGTTGTACTTGGGTAGTCAACTCCAAGAGGACTATGTTTTATATAACTTCTGTGAGTAAATATTTTGAAATAATTTACCCTAACCTAACAATTTGTAGAATCATAGGATTGCTCATCTAGTCTAATCCCCTACTTAGGGGTACAAGCATCCCTCTCTAAACCATCGCAGACAAATGTTACAGTTTAGTTGATTTTTTTAATGCAATCCACTGATTAAAGGCACCTGGGAGTTGAGAAAATAACTACTTCTTTGGGTGTCTGGCATCTTCATTAAGGAAGCACCCCTCCTTTGTTTTTGCTTTGCACTCCTTGAGCATGGGGTTGGACTAGGTGTTAGAGGAGCCATTATTCTATCCAGGCAAATTGCAGTGAACAACCTTCAAAATTAGCCAGCATTCAGGAGACTACTGCAGCCTGCCACCTGTTTATAAATCAGTCAATTAACATAAATCAGTTTATGCTAAGTGAGGCTATGGTAGATCATATCTAACCTTATTTTCTACCAGTATCTTAGCAAATGGCTTCTTTAGTCTCTCTTGGTGACAGAAGATGTGTGAAATAGAGTGTGAGCTCCTCAACATCATAGTGCCCATGAGGCTGCTAGCCCTGAGTCAAAAAGAAGTCTTCCAAAGATATGGGACCATTCAGATGACTGTGTTTAATTTTGAGACTTGAAACCCATTTAAGATAGATAGTACCTTATCTATGTAATAAAAAATAACACTTTTTTTCTATTTGCAGATGTTGATGAATGTGCTACTGGGAGAGTTGTCTGTCCCAGATTTAGGAAATGTGTTAACACTTTTGGGAGCTACATTTGCAAGTGCCATAAAGGCTTCGATTTAATGTATATCGGAGGCAAATATCAATGCCATGGTAATAAAATCCATGTATTTCATTTTTGCACATATTTACTGTATATGTTATGTACATTATTTAATTGTATCCAGGATTAACAGAGGTTTATCCATCTTCATACAGGCTGAGAGGCTGAAACTGTTTTAAAGTACTCTGTATTTTTGTGTGTGTAGTGAACTGTGAAATAGAATTACATTGAACATGTAAAAAAAAGTAATATCCTTTGATGTTTTCAATGGGAATTGCATGCAGACAGCATCTGCAGGTTTTGGTACCTTGTTTGTAGCACTAACAGCATGAAAAACAATACAAGATATTGTAAGCAGTTTCCACACTGGTGTAATACACAAAAGAAGGTAAACCACAGAAGAAGAGCATGCTAAATGGGGATTGGGGTCTTGTATATTACAAATCTTATATTGCAAACCTGGTATTTCCCCTCCCTGAGAGGTCAGTGTAAAAGTGATTGTAGAAAACCGAAATGTTTACTTGCTGCATACTGGAGGTCAGTCTAGATGATCACTCAGGCTGCTTGCAGACATGGGGGGGAAAAAAAATCGGTGCTTTACTTCAACCTTGACAGGCTCCTGCACTGAACCCAGCACATGCTCAGGAGAGGCAGCACATTACTTGCACCCAGCTTTCCCAACATCTATATAGATGGAGCACTTCAGTGGAGCTTTTTAGGTGCTTTTATCTAATAGCTGATTGAATCAGCTTTAGGTAAAAATGCCAAAAAGTCCCACTGAAGTGCCTGATCAATACAGACGCTGTGGAGCCAGCCTGAGCTAACGCACTGCTGCTTCTATTAAAGTGTGTTCTCCCCTACCTCCCCCCATGTCTG